GGGGAACCGTGAGCGGCCCCGCGGAGCCCGGCCTTGCTCTGGAGGGTGAAGCTTGCTCGGGTGTAACGAGCCCGTGCCCCTGGGTCACCGCATCACCGGGGGTGGTTTCGCGTTTTGGTAGCCCTGCCTGTAATGTCAGCGTGGGTGTGGGTGTGGGAAGGCAGCCGGGTGCGTGAGCGCACCTTTTGGGGAAAAAAAACGGCCGGTGGGAGGTCTGTGGACAAAGGGAGCTCCAGCTTCTTGCCTGTGGAGACGAGGCAGATTGAGCTGCTTGATGCTTCGGAACCAAAATACAGTCAGGGAATGTCTTAGAGTTGTGGAGTGAGGTCTGGCGATGGGAGCGGGGTCCTATGCACGAGCACTTCAGTGTGCCATCTTACCGAGAGCTTTTCTCCTTCGGTCTTGACTCTCACGTCCCACCAGAGAGGTAGAGGTGAGCATTCCTTCCCTCTGAGGTAGGGTCTGCAAGGCTTTGTTAACGCCTCTGCACGTGGAAAGGTGGTTTTGCTCCCTGGATACTGTAGAGTCCTCCCCGCGTGCAGTGGGAAGCGTAGATGTTGCTTGCTTGGCAGTAAACCAGAGACATCTCTTGAAGAGCTGCCCGCTTAGGTGTCTCCAGTACTGGTGCACAAGGACTTTGGGCCAAGCACCGGTGATATCCTGAGCTTCATTTTACCTTCCTTCAGTTTTCCTTGGTGGTGCTTCTCTCCTTCCTGGGGAGCACATTAGTCTAAAGAGAGAAGGTGGAAGCCCCGAAGGTGCAAATGCTGCTCCTGGAGCTGTGGCCAGTAGAGATGGGCGTGAAGAGGGAAAAGTAACCTAGAAAACAGAATCGCAGCAAAGACAGCCCGTGTGGGCAGTCGCATCCTTTCTCGTACGGGGTTCTGGGATCTCTCAGAAGTTCGTCCCCTCCCTCTCAAATCCCCCCTGCACACTCGGATACGCTGCTGACCGCGTTCCCCCTCCTTGCCCTAGCAGCTCCTTGGCCACTGACGATCTGCACTGATTTCTCTCCCTGGTAATTGCCTCACAAAGTCATCACCGTCTGTTGTCCCTGTAGATGCCTCACTCTAGAAGGTACCGCTCGTCGGAGCGCAGCAGCCGAGGCAGCTATCATGAGCGCTACAGAAGTCGCAAACACAAGAGACGGCGGACACGGTCACGATCGAGCAGCAGCGAGCGTGACCGTCGGCACCGTCGGGAAGACAGTTACCATGTTCGATCCAGGAGGTGAGTCTGCAAAGATGAGGCGGGACCGTGAACCCTGCGGTGTTTCTCCAGCTCGGACAGAGGCAGCTGTGGTCAGCCCAACTTCTGGGTGGCGTGGGCCCTGTGCTCTCGTGTGCTCTGAGCTGTAACTTCCCAGGCGGTGTTCGTAATCGAACCCCCTCGGCTTGCTTCCCTTCCCTAGCTACGACGACCACTCAGCAGACAGGAGGGCCTACGACCGGCGTTACTGTGACAGCTACCGGCGGAACGATTACAGCCGCGAGCGAGGGGAAGCCTACTATGAACCCGAGTACCGTCATTCCTATGAGTACCGACGCTCCCGGGACCGTGAGGGCAGCTACCGGAGCTGCAAAAGCAGCCGGCGTAAGCACAGGCGGAGGCGGCGCCGCAGCCGGTCCTTTAGTCGCTCCTCATCGGTGAGTATCCTGCTGTGCTGGGCCTCCCCTGTAACCTTTCTCTCCCAGGTGGCGAGCTGGGTAAGTAGAAAACTCACTTTCTAACGCTCTCTCGGACTCAGCTTGAGAAATGCGTAGAAAGCCTTTGATGCAGACAGCAGTTCCTGTCCACCATCCTGATGCGCCTCGGCAGCGGCTGCCCTGTGCCAGCTGGGCACAGGCGGCTCAGACCCTCTCTTAGTGTTGCCCGCTCGGAGGTGGGAGGAGGACAGGCGTGCCTTGCGAGGCTGGCGTGTCCCCCGGGGTGGTGCTGCAGTCCTCAGCTCCTTTATCCCTGCAGAGTGCTGCTTTTGTTCGGTGATGCTCATTAAGAGCTGTCTAGGAACCCCAGCCGAGCAGTCTTTTGTGCGAGGTTTGTACAGCAAACGTTCAGCTGATCCTGGTCCCAGAGAGCTCGGTCTGCCTGCGACAGGCGGCTTGGTCCCCGTGGTCCCTGTTTCGGGCCTGTATTCTGTGGCAGGAAGCCCCCCCGTCTCTGAGGGTTAGGTCCTGCGTCAGAGCAGGATCCTTCTGGGTGGGCCCAGCTGACGTGGGATGTCGTGCGAGGGGCTTTGCAAAGGAGTAGAGCTTGTGGACCGGTCAATTCAGGTGGAGGCAGCAACCATCACAGGCTCTTCCCGGCAGTGTCCCTGGCTTTCTCTTCTTGTCTGTTCTGCTGTTCACTTTCCACTTCTGTTAGACCCCAGACACGTTCTCTGCTCTGTGTGTGGAGCTCTCAGTGTTGTCTGGTCTGTTCTGGCTGTGTGTCCAGGGATGGGATTGTGGGCTGGATTCGGGTCCCAAGTCTGCTGGCCGGTTGCTCCCAGGTGTGGGGATACTTAGCTGAAGAACTGAAGGCAGGAATTTTCTCTTCTCTGGCATAAACCTCTTATCTGCCTCATCCCAGGCTGTCCCTATTCCCTGTTGGGCCTCTGCTTCTCTCCTGGAAGTTACTCCTTCCAGGATCAGCTTCTTTGGGGGAGGGTCTAGGAAGACGTGTCACATCTTCCCCCAGGCAGTCACTCGTAAATTCTCTCTGGTTTTGGATGGATCGTTGTACCGAGAGTTGCTTCTGAAATCTCTGAATTCATCTTTTTCCGAGTGTTGGGGCTGGGGGAAGCTATGTGGGTGGTTGTTGGAGTGGGATGGGGAGTGCCTGTGTGGGGCAGCCTGGCCCTTTGCTCGTGCAGGACTTCCCAGCACCTTCTGCTGCCTTTCCTCAGTGGCTGCCGTGGGGCTGAAGTGAGCCTCTCCCCGTGGCCACTGAGCGCCCGGCTGCAGAGTTGTGCTTCGGCGTGCTCTCTTGGCCTTCTCCAGGACGCGAAGGCCAGTGCCGTTCCTCTCCAAGCCCCCCTGGGAGCGAGAGCAGCTGGCCCCTTCCACTGCCCCTCCGCTAGCCCTTGTTCTGACCGTCTCTGCTCTCACACTGGTTCGGGTGGGGCTGTTTGTAGGTTCTTTTTTTTCTTTTTTTTTTTCTTTTTTTTTTTTTTTTTTTGCTACAACGAAAAGCAAACTGTTTTTTTCTTTTCTGAGCTAGTGTGTTGTATCTTGACATGTTCCCTTGCAATATCCCTATCGTTATATATTCCTCTGTGCCGTATGAATTGGCTGGGAATCTCCTCCTGCAACCCCTCCTCAAACAACCATGTGAATTTCCAAACCAACCAATGCGTGACGCTGGCTGCTGCGCTGGTTTGAAAATCTGATTGGTGAATGATGAATTCCCTGTCTGCCTGGGCCAGCAGCGGAGTCGACAGAGCAGCAGAAGGGCCAAGAGTGTGGAGGACGACGACGAGGGGCATCTGATCTATCGCGTCGGCGACTGGCTACAAGAAAGATGTACAGCCAAATCGTAACATAATTTAGCTCTCTAGTTAAGCTCCCATCGCAGTCGCAGATCTGTCTTATCTTTCTGTTTCATTTTATTTTCATTGTTTATTAAAGAGAAACCCTCTCCTTTTCCTTCCCCTTTTGTTAAAGCTACGTTTATATTTTGTATTGTTACTGAAGTGCCAGGGAACTAGGGCAGTTGCCTTGTGCAGCCGGTGTCAGCCTTCCGCTGCTCCGGTCTCTCAAGCTGTGTGCAGGTTAGGTGTTGCAATGCATTCTCCTCTGCCTTGTGTATGCGCTGCATCCAGGTCGTGCTCACTCTCTCACCTGCCTTCCCCTCTTTCTCTCCCTCCCAGATGAGATTATTAGCACCTTAGGGGAAGGCACGTTCGGCAGAGTGGTGCAGTGCATCGATCACCGGAGGTACGTCTGCTCCTGGGAGAGGGAGGGACGTGGTGGTGAGGGAAAAAGAGAGACCGCAGCTGGCGACAGAGCCTTTCGTGTTTAATGTGGGAGCCTGGGGGTGAAAATGAGTCTCTTGGTTTCCAGCGTTCCTCTGCTGGTCTGGGCACTCGCCCCTGTGTTGGAGAGGGGTCGGGGGGAGCCTCAGGGCTGTTTGTAGGGAGGGAAAAGGCACTGCTTTGGCAGACACCCCTTAATAATGGCTGCCTTCTGGCTTGAGCCAGGGTGGTGGAGGGCTGTGCTGCACAACTCGCAGGATAAGGCTGGATCAGAAAGGCTCTTTGACCCAGCTCAAGGGTGATCTTGCACTTTCTTCCTGTTTCTCCCCAGGGGTGGTGCACGTGTTGCTCTCAAAATCATTAAAAACGTAGAGAAGTACAAAGAGGCTGCTCGGCTAGAAATAAACGTGCTGGAGAAAATCAACGAGAAGGATCCCGAGAACACGAAGTGAGTTGCCTTAGCACAGTTGCAGGGATGGGCTGAGAGAGAGGTACTTGATGTGGTGTAAATGAATTCATTTGTAGCTAGTTTTTGGAGGCATACTGGCTTTCTATGGGATACAGACTGAGCAAGGAAAGGAGGAGCCTGGTGCGGGAATAACATAGCTGAGTGGTGTGTGCAGATCTGTCTCGAATCGGAATTTTTCTCTCAGTCTTTGCGTCAGGATGTTTGACTGGTTTGACTACCATGGCCACATGTGCATCTCCTTTGAACTGCTGGGGCTCAGCACCTTTGATTTCCTGAAGGACAACAACTATCTGCCTTACCCCATCCACCAAGTACGGCACATGGCCTACCAGGTGTGCCAGGCCGTGAAATGTAAGTGTTCACTGCTCTTCTCTCCGCTGGTCCTTGACTGACCTGGAGAGCTGTGAAGCTCCCAACATCCGTGCCAGTTCTGCAACTGGTGGCCCAAAGCAGCGAGTTTTTGCTGCGGTGCCGCTGTGCCAGTTCTGAGACTGAGCCTTCCTGCCCCTCCAGCGGTGAATGCTTGCTTGGAATTAATCCTTTTTCTTTTCCTGATTGTAATGTTTTCCAATGCATGTGGGCTGGCAGTAGCTCAGGGCACTTCAGCATCCACCTCCACGCACACATTCTGGTGATAGATACGATAAATCTTTGTGCTTCTCCCGAAGCATCTTGCCCTGGACTAGCCTGACTGTTCACACCTGGCTCTAAATGCGGGCTAAACTGGTGCCAGCATGAGCAAACTGAATTAATGATGTTCGCTCTTTGGGTGGGTGCAGCCTCGCTTTGCTTCTGTTTGGTCACCCTGACTCTGTTTGCTTCCTCAGTTCTGCATGACAATAAACTCACTCACACTGACCTCAAGCCAGAGAACATCCTCTTCGTGAACTCTGACTACGAACTCTCCTATAACCTGGAAAAGGTAACAGCGCTGCCATGTGTTAGAGGTCTTCTCTTGGGTTCTTGGTATCCCTGACCTTATCAGCAGTTGGGAGGAGTCAGAACGCGGCCCCAGGAGACACAGAGTTGACTAAGAACGTTCACGCATTTGTTCAGGGCCTATATCCTGCATGAACGGCCTGTGTAGTCTATAAGTAAGCCATAGGGACCACAGGCTTACCTGTGTGATGGTGAGAGTTTGTCTGGGGGCTGTGCTGCGGGGCTGAGCCAGCACTAATGTACCCTCCGAAGCCTTCCCCTCCCGTGGTGCTCTGTGGCGAAGCCTCAGCTGTTTAGGGAAGGGGCTAAGTCTGCATCTCGAAACTCCTGCGTAACTGATACCGTTCTCCCTCGCAAAGAAGCGGGATGAGCGGAGCGTGAAGAGCACGGCCATCAGAGTGGTGGACTTCGGCAGTGCCACGTTTGATCATGAGCATCACAGCACGATTGTCTCTACCCGGCATTACCGGGCCCCTGAAGTCATACTGGGTAGGTACCGCTTGGTCTTTCTGCAGAGGCAGGCGTTCGCCTCGAGGGTACTGGGTGCTGCCTGCTGGATTAAGGAGCGTTTTGCCTCCACATCATTCAGCAGCTGTCCTGGGTTTACCCAGGGAGATAAGTGCTTTATTTAACATCCTCTACTCTCTATTTCCTGGGAGGGTCAACAACTTACAAGTTGGTGTTTTGGCATTGCTACCAGCAGTATATTGCCACCAGTGTATCAGGAGCCTGGCTGGAATGGGAATTGTTTTTCCAATTGTTTGTTTTTAAAAGGGCAAGGGAGAGGGATTTGGAATCTTAGGCCATAACTGGATCTTTTATTTAAAAAACATTGTTTTTTAGAGCTTGGCTGGAGCCAGCCCTGTGATGTGTGGAGCATTGGCTGCATCATCTTTGAGTATTATGTGGGTTTCACCCTGTTTCAGGTGAGAACTGTATGCTGTATGGCTACCTCACAACTGATGAAAGAGGATGCTGGCTGTTGCCCAGTACAGCCGGGAGCCTCTGGGACTGATGGGGTTCCCTCCATCACTGCAGTCTTGTAGAGACGACCGAGGTGTTGCCCAGCAAGGGGCTCTGAACTGGGGAACACCCAGGGCTGGAGGTAGAACGACTGGAATCTGTTCCATGCCTTCCCTTTACATTTCTCTCTCTCAGACACATGACAACCGGGAGCACCTGGCCATGATGGAGAGGATCTTGGGGCCAATTCCTTCTCGGATGATCCGGAAGACGAGGTGAGCAAGGCCGGCTGGGCACCGCAAGCTTGCCAGCTCTCTCCTGCTTCACGTCTAGTTGTTCTCTCTGAGGGATTGAGCTTTGAAGCTGCCTGCTGAGCCAGTTGTCCGTGCCGCTGCAGTCTCCTGAGTAGCGTGTGCTGCCAGGGCTGGTGCACTGCTGTCGCTGCAAGACGTTTTATGCTTGGGTGTAACCTGTTCCCACCTCTTACTCTGACAGGAAACAGAAATATTTCTACCATGGCCGTCTGGACTGGGACGAGAACACCTCCGCTGGCCGCTATGTTAGGGAAAACTGCAAGCCGCTGCGGGTAAGGCGGGGTGGGAAAGAGCATCTGGCTGCTTTATCCTTTTCTCATTGCAGAGTCTTATAGTGCCTGCCCCAGTTGTGAAGATTCTTCCTGTGGGCAAGGTTGGGCCACCGAAAGGGTCAGACCAGTGTCTTCCCGAAGGAGCCTTGGCTGTCCCAGACATAAACTAGGAAGACTGCATCAACCTGAGCTTAATCTGAAGTGGAGGAGAAGGAGGAGGGCATGGAGACCTCAGGAAGTGCCTGGGAAAGATGGGGAGGGCAGGGTGTGGAAACTCGGCAGTTCCACACCTGGTAAAGCGGCCCAGAGTTCAGGTCTAGGATGAGTGATGGTTGAACAAACCAGTCTTCCCCCAGCTTAGCCGTTCAGCCCAGGGAATGTACTGTGATGGGACAGGGTGCAGTGTCCTTGGCCGTAACCTCTCCTCTCCGTCTCCCCAGCGATACCTGACCTCTGAGGCTGAGGACCATCACCGCCTTTTCGACCTCATTGAGAGCATGCTGGAGTACGAGCCGTCCAAGCGCATCACCCTGGCCGAAGCCCTCAAGCACCCCTTCTTTGACATGTTGGAGATGGAGCCGAGCACAAAAATGTGGGACTCTAGCAGAGACATCAGCCGGTGACGCCACAGGTGCCAGCCTGCCCTCAGATTCTAGCCCCCGTGGAGGCCTGTGTGATTTCTATTCAGACACTTGGTGCTTTTTTTTTATACATGAGAAGAACTCCCTGGACACGTTTGTAAAGCTGTTAATATGTGAGATACTGTAAATAGCCCATATTCTATATCGGCCTCTGAGCACCACAGGCCCGACCTCCTGCTGTTGCTGCTGCCGTTATCGTGAGGCGAGGGGGCCTGTATGTCCATATTGTAAATACCTCTGTTCACGTGTTGCTTTGTCTCCTGTTCTCTCCTGCCCTCCTCGGTGTAAATACTCCAGGACTCGCAGCTCTCTGTAGCTTATCTGTTTCCTTGTAAGTTATGAAACTGGTGGGACTGCATGGGAATTATTTTTTGGATCAATGTCATAGCCCATCCCCACACCAGAGTTTTATAAGAATTTTGTACAGTCTTTGTGAAAAATAAATATGAAGTGAATAAACCACCTGGTCTGGGTTTGGACCAGCAGCAGCCCCTCTTGGGGCTGTTCTGCAGGTCGGTTGTGCTCCTGATGTGCAGTGGCTGTATGCTGCGCCCTGCAGAGGGAAGGAAGGCGCATCCTCTTGTGGGATGAAAGGTACTTTGTGGTCCAGGAAACTTCAGTAATGAATCCAGCTCTATCCACCCACACTACTCCTCCCAAGCTTGGATGCTGGCCTAGTGTCTGAGCTTGCACTGGGCACGAGCTGCTTTTGGCTCTCTGAGGGCTGCAGCTGGACCTGAGCAGATTCTGGTGTGGGGGGCAGCGAAACACAGGCTAGCCCCTTCATCATGCCCTGTAATCAGTATTGAGGTGGAATATAGAAAAAGGAGGACGGTGGGTACTTAAAGATACGTGTTCTCTTTACTAGAGAAACCTCTTGCTCCCTGGACAGGGTGGAGCACTGGCTACTGGTGATGGCTGTTGGAACACGGGTGTCCAGGTGCCCACATTTGGCTGTCAAACACATACCCCAGTGTCTGTCTCTGCCTTTTTGGCTCTTACCAGCTCTGCAGTGAGGCTGGAGGCTTGGCTTGGACTTTTCCATGGGAATTGCTGGGGATGTTTCAGACCTGATGGCAGCTCTGCGTAGATGCTTTGCCAGTGTGTCTGGGAGAGTCTTGCTCACGGTCTGTTCTGCAGGAGCTTATCGCTTTGCTGTGGCACCATCTGTCTGTGGCAGAGTGTGTCCTGGCTCTGGTAGACTGTCATCATGCAGAGGGATAAAGGAAAAGTCTGGCTTCACCTGGAGTTAGTGTGGGGGAGTCTCAGGAGGGATGACATTGAATCATCTTCATGAGCTTGTGATCCTAACTTAAAGAGTTTGGGCTGGAAGCTTTCGCCTGCCTCCTGTTTGGCTAGGCAGCAGCCAGCCAGGTGGTGTGTGCCAGGGAACGAGAGCTGGGGAAGACCATGTCCTGCTGCGTGTGTAGCCAGCCCCCAGGTAAGTCTGGAGGAGAATTAGATTGACCAAATAATACCTGCGGTCTGTCTCAAACTTAAAAAAAAACCCAACACATTTAGGTGTCCAAAACCTCAGCTTTTACCTTCCCAGCAGAGAGCACGGCTCAAGGTGCCAGCTGTCTGCGTTGAAGTGGGAGCTCAGAGATTTGTGTGTAACTTTGTAAGTCCATGTTCAGAGACTAAAGAATATTTTCAGCAGAGAGGTGCAGTTGCTGCTAAGCACTGAGAGCTGGGACAGGAACTAGAGGCAGGTACGGATAGATGTCCTGTGCCGCTCTCGGGATGCCAAGGAATCCCTGTTTGGGAGAGGGTGTCGGTATGCTGTCCAAGTGCAGCTGATAGTTGATGGAATCAAGGATCCCTATAAATAACTGGTCCAGGAGACACAAAAGTTAAATTCCCCAAACTGCTCATCGTGCCATGAATTCTTCCCTGACCGTTTTACTTCCATGGAGTCTGCTGTACGGCTGGTTCGGGTGAGCTCAGTGAAACAGCTCACTTCCCCAAGGGGAAGCCTGGGGGGTTCCACACAGGCCGGAGGCGAACAGCACCGCAGCCGTCCCGGTAAGAGGCGGGAGCCCAGCCGAGGCGCTTGGACGTGAGGCCTCAGGGGGACCCGCAGGAGGGGCCTGCTGTGGTAGTAGGCCTGGCTGAACGGAGCCGTCGTTGGATAGAGAAGCCGGGTCTGGGCGGGGGACCCGGAACCCGGGTGGGCATGAGAGACCTGGGGGGACATGGGAGACCCGGGGGGACATCGGGGCCCAGCGCTGGGATGGAACACCGGGAACCCGGGGGGACGCGATGGGGCCCGCACGGTGGGGAGGCCTGGCCCCGGCCCGGCGTTGCCATGGGCCCTCTGTTGCCATGGGGACGCGCTCCC